TCAAGAGTGTTTAAAATCTTCATCATTGAGAGACTTGCTACATATCAAAGATCCATTCAAGAAGTCTCAAAGTTGGAAGCCAGTGAAACTTGTTTTTCTACAAACAAGTGATATTCCTACTGGAGTGTAGGAAGGGAGGAAAGTAACACGGAGCAGTGAAATCCTGGATTGTCACACGGAGCTGTGAGATCCGAAGCAGCAGTGTCGGAGGCACTGGGCGTGATTGGTGCGGGCTTGGTGATCTAAACACTAGATCACGGGATACGTCGACCGGATTGTGGAAGACGGGGAGAAAGTAGCACGGAGCTATGAAATCCTGTGCAAGTAGCACGGAGTTGTGAAATCCGAAGCAGCAATATTGGAGGCACTGGGCGTGATTAGTGTGGGCTTAGTAATCAAATCACTAGATCACGGAAATTCATTGTATCTAGGAACCAAGAAGTGGTGGATATAGTGAATTGCTCTTGGACGATAGGAGCAAGTGGAGTAGGGGATTACATCACCTCCGAACCACTATAAATTGCCTTGTGTCATTTACTACTTTATTTACTTACTGCTTATCACGTGGATATACTTGACACAATCACACAACTCGTATTTATTTATTTCGCTGCGTACAAGACTCTAACAATCTAGTTAATAGTTTTGGTTTCCCTATCGCCTCAACAATTGTTGTATTCGCGAAAACATTTAAAAGTCTATTCACCCCCTCCTCTAGACTTTTACCACACCCCCTTTGGGACCAACAGGTACAACACCCCTGAGTAATATTTAACTTATATCATTTTTCTGACTGATGGGGAGTGGACCCCGGCCCAAGAAGAAGGGGGAATCCCAAAAAGAATAAGATGCGGCTCAAGGGAAAAGGGGCGGAAGCCTAGAAGGTAATAAAGCTCGGAAGAATATCAGACCGAGTCCAGGAGTCGAGCCGACTCCGAGGTCGGGATGAGGACTTGGTGAAAGCGACAAAGAACCGTTGAAGGGCATTTAAGGAAGCATTAAAGAAGCCGGTCAAAGAGACGTTGGGAGGCCCAATAACGGCAGCCCCGAGCAGATTCGGGCCATCGGTCGAGCGATCGCAGCCGAGACTCGAGAAAGGGGAGAACCGTCGACCTCTCAGCCGCCGAACGCACAGCCGCGCAACCAGTAATTGCCTTAAAGGTCGGACGGATACAGACGAGAAGATCGACGAGCGGAGGACCCGCCGACGCGGTCGGTACATTCGAGGCTAGGCCCGAATGCGATGTGCCAATCGGTGAGAGAATGATTGGGGGAAGGGGAACCCAGTCGCGTGCCGGCGAGCCAGTGAAATCGAGAGGCCCCCCGAGAAAGAACCCATACCAGAAGAACGCGAACTCGGGCGCGCCAGGCCGAGTTCAGGAGTCGAGCCGACTCCGAGGTCGGGATGAGGACTCGGTGAAAGCGACAAAGAACCGTTGAAGGGCATTTAAGGAAGCATTAAAGAAGCCGGTCAAAGAGACGTTGGGAGGCCCAGTAACGGCAGCCCAACGGTCCTCCGACATAATTAGCAATCAAAGCCCAATTTAATACATTTAAGCTCGAATTAAAGGAGGGCCTACTATATAAAGGCCCCTCCAAGATGTAAAACAGGCGAGTCCATGCCCAGAGAATAGAGAGACACGTATACTAAAATTATCCATTCCCTTCTATTTTGGATAGCTTTATTGAAAGGTGTATCCACCAACCAAGGTTGTGTTGGACCTCCCTAGGCCCAAAAACCCTAAAACCAACACTGGCACCGTCTGTGGGGATCGAAACGAAGAGTCACGTCCATTCTTGAGCATCAGAATTCACAGAGGAAAAGAGACGAGGGAGCAGGAAGAAGAAGCTTTACAACATGTCAGAAGGGCGAAGCCGTGCCTCCAACCGTAACCACGAGCCGGAAGCCGATTTGAGAGATCAGCTGATCCAGCGAAACTCACAGAGTCAAGGAAATGACTCGACACCCCAAAACTGACCCCCGACAATGGTACCTCTCACCCCCGAGCAGATTCGGGCCATCGGTCGAGCGATCGCAGCCGAGACTCGAGAAAGGGGAGAACCGTCGACCTCTCGGCCGCCGAACGCACAACCGCGCAACCAGCAATTGCCTCAAAGGTCGGACGGAGACAGACGAGAAGATCGACGAGCGGAGGACCCGCCGGCGCGGTCGGTACATTCGAGGCTAGGCCCGAATGCGATGCGCCAATCGGTGAGAGAACGATTGGGGGAAGGGTAACCCAGTCGCGTGCCGGCGAGCCAGTGAAATCGAGAGCCCCCTCGAGAAAGAACCCGTACCAGAAGAACGCGAACTCGGGCGCGCCAGGCCGAGCGACCCATTCGCAATGAGGAGCGGCAGGCCGAGTCACAGGTCGGCGAAAGTACAGAGTCCACAGGAAACCACACTCGAAACGCCGAATATGTGGCCCACTTGGCCCAAGAGCTACGGAATTTGAAGGAGAAAGTGGAAGGTAGAACCAAGTCCCCAGGTCGGACGGTGCTCACCGTCTTGCCCTTCTCGGCCGAGATTATGGCGTACAAGATACCCGGCGACTTTAAGTTCCCGGAGCAAGCCACCTTCGACGGATCCGGCAACTCGCGCGAACATCTTCTGAGTTACCAAGCCAAAATGCAGGTCTTGGGGGTCCGGGATCCCCTCATGTGTCGTGCTTTTTTGCCAACGCTAAAGGCCTCGGCGCAAAGATGACTCGTGGCCTTACCCCCAGGCTCAGTTCACAGCTTTGAGGAATTGGCTGACGCTTCATGAATCATTACGCGGCTAACATCAAGCCACAAAAAAGATTTAACTTATCTGAGAGACATCCATCAAGAGGAGGGCGAGTCCCTCAAAACTTACCTAGCCTGGTGGCAGAAAGAGATCCAATCCATCGAGGAGGTAGAAGACCAGACTGCCCTCACCTTCTTCATTGAGTCGTTACGATCCGGGCAACTATATCGTGACCTGCGGGACAACCGACCCGCCACCTATGCGGAGGCCATACTCATGGCCAACAAGCGGGCCAATACGGAACAAGCTATGAAACACAAGCGACAGCGGGAAGTTAGAGGATCCCCTGGTGGAAAATGAACCCGAGCAGAGGTAAAGGAAAGACGTCCGGATTCAGCTAGGCGACCGGAAGCTCGACGCATATACGATAGGCCTAGCATCCAGCCTTACCGGCCGACCTCCCAGTACCCGGTACACGAAGTACAAGCGGTCGCACCGCCTCCGCCTCCTCCGACCAGGGAGCGTGCAGCAAATGAGGACCCGGGTAAGACGTCTAAGTATTGTCGATACAACAAATCATACACCCACAACACAGAGGAATGTTATTACCTGAAGAAGATCATAGAGGGGATCATCCAGCAAGGAACGCCGCCTCCTAACCAATGGCGAAGAAGGTCTGCGGCTAAGGAAGATGGCGACCCTTCGGAAGCGGTCGAAAGCGATCACGGTAAGCAGCCGGTGACCGATGAAGGTGAAACCCAGTGGAGGCAGAAGCCGGTTATCAACATGATAGTCAGCGGACCTGAAGGAGATTCCACCAACACTAGAAAGGCCTGGGCTCGGCAGCTATATGTAGGGACTGTGTATGGACGAGAAGGCGGCTCGAAGAAAGCGTGCCGGGAGCCTTTCGTCTTCACAGACAAGGATTTTCCTACGGGAGAAACTCCGCATCGCGACGCCCTAGTCATTGCCATGGATGTGAACGGGGTGGTCGTCCAGCGGATCCTGGTAGACACGGGGAGCAGCATCAATGTCCTATATCTCGAGACCTTCGCCAAAATGGGGTTGGCACGAGAACAACTGGCCTCAGTCAAGACGCCACTGGCCGGTTTCATGGGCGACTCCGTGGAAGCTGAAGGATCCATCATTCTACCCGTTGAGGTTGGTACTTATCCTGACGTACAGAAGTTAGACATGAAGTTCATTGTGGTCGACTTGACATGCTCTCATAACGCAATCCTCAGCCGGCCTGGTTGGGAAGATTTGGGAGCTTTGATTTCCATCGAGCATCTTTGCTTAAAATTCCACACACCGAGCGGAGGGCCGCCCATGACTGCTACCTGCAAGCTTACCGAGGTATGGGCAAACGGGAGATGCAAGTTCATGAGATCACGGAACGACCCCCGAAGAAGACGATGCCACCTCGCCCCGAGCCGGCCGTAGAACTGGAGGAAGTTGAGATTGACCCATCTCGACCAGAAAGGCGAGTGCGGATTGGAGTCGGCCTCCAAGAAGAGGTACGAAAAGAAGTCATACGAGTGCTCCGAGAAAACCACTTGGTTTTTGCGTGGGGGCCCGAAAACATGCCCGGAGTAGACAGATCTATAATTTCTCATCGGCTCATCGTCGACCCTGGCCACCGACCTGTGATCCAGAAAAAGCAGTACCTGGTCAATGATCGTATAGAGTTCGTCAAACAGGAAGTGAACACGTTGTTAGCCGCCGGCCATATCCGGGAGGTCAAGTATCCGGAATGGTTAGCCAATGTGGTGTTTGTGCCAAAGCCACCAGCCTGGAGGATGTGCATGGATTACACTGATCTTAAAAAAGCTTGCCCAAAGGATCCTTTCCCTTTGCCCAGGATTGATCAGCTGGTCAACGAAACGGCAGGGTCGGCGTTATTAAGCTTCATGGATGCCTTCCGAGGGTATCACAAAATCTACATGCACAAGGCCGATGAGGAGAAAACAGCCTTCCTGACCCCGGATGACGTGTACTATTACCAAGTCATGCCCTTCGGACTCAAAAATGCGGGGGCCACATATACTCGGATGGTCACCCGGCTGTTTCAGGACCTGTTAGGAAAATCCATGCCCGCATGGTGGATTATCAGTCGGACATATACGTGGATGATATGCTGGTGAAAAGCCGAGAGGAAGCTGGTCACGCCGGGGACCTGACCGACTGCTTCCAGGTAATCCTTAAATATAACCTACGACTCAATCCCAAAAAATGCGCTTTTGTCGTACAAGGGGGTAAATTCTTGGGATACATGGTGACCAAGAGGGGCATTGAGCCAAACCCGGAGAAGGTGCAGGCCATAATGGACATGCAGCCTCCCAGCACCGTTAAAGATTTGCAGTGATTAATTGGCTAACTGGCCGCCTGAGTCGCTTCCTAAGTAAGTCGGCAGAAAAGACTGTACCTTTCTTTGAGGCTATGAAGAAGAAAGGGGGGTTCGCATGGACGGCCGAGTGCCAATATTCTTTTGAAGAATTGAAAAGATAAATTTCCACACCTCCGGTGCTATCTACCCCCCCAGGTCGACGAACCTTTATTTTTATATCTTGCGACGTCTCCCAAGGTCGTGAGCTCGGTACTTGTCCGTGAGGAGGAACGGACGCAACACCCGGTTTATTATGTGAGTCGTTCCTTAAAATCAGCCGAAACTCGGTACACATCTCTGGAAAAAATAGTCTACGCCTTAGTGATCACGGTGAGGAAGCTAGCACCTTACTTCCAAGCCCATACTGTCCGAGTCCTGACAGACCACCCTCTGGGAAGTGTGTTGCGGAATCCCACGTCGTCAGGACGACTCGTGAAATGGGCCATAGAGTTGACCCAATATGGAATCGAGTACCAGCCTCGCCCTTCGATTAAAGGGCAGGCCCTGGCCGACTTCTTGGTCGAGTGCACCGCGGAAGAAGATGACAAGATCTCGGCCTCGGAGGAAGGCCCCAGCGAATGGTGGGTGTTAGGAATAAAGTGTAATGGTTTTGATATGCCAAATATGTATTCGTAGATCCCCCAATTTTATTTCTTAGGTCTAGTAGAGTCTTAGACCATGATCGGGAAATTATTTAAATTGGAAAAGAGAAAAACAGAGGAAGATGCATGAAAATAGAAGAAGAAGATATAAAGCCTAAAATCAAGAATTTGTCTGGAGAAAATGACAAATTAAAGAAGAAGATGAATGATACAATATTCACGTCAATGCTACTTAAAGAAATATTCCAGAAGAATTTTCGTGAAAGAAAATTAAGATTGGAAGAATGCATGAAATTGACTTGGAGACCAAGCATCTATGGAAAGAAAGGAGTACATCAAAGAAGATTGGAAATTTAATCAATAGTTGTACGGACGAAGTGGAAATTTAATCAATAGTTGAATCTCACTATCAACAATTTTACAAGGTAAAATTTGAGAAGCCAAAATTAATTAAGTTTGATGGAGTTGGGCGCTAGTTTGGCTCACTTGGGTGGCAATTGAGAAGCAATTGCACTTGGGAGCCAATTCAAAGGAATTGGGAGCCGATTTCATAGCAATAGAAATTGGGAGCTAGTTCGAAGCAATTGAAATTGGAGCTAGTTTCAGAGAAATTGAAATCAATTGAAATTGGGAGCAAGTTTCACAAGGGAGTCAATTCAAAATGGGAGCCAATGTAGAATTGAATCAATTGAAATTGGGAGCAAGTTTCACAAGGGAATCAATTCAAGATGGGAGCCAATGTAGAATTGAAATTGGGAGCCAATTGAAGTTGTAGTATGGGATACAAACTCAAATTGGGGATCGATTCGAAGAAGACATGAAGATCAAATTGAATTGAGATAAAATTCAATACCAGGAGAAGTCTGGAAGCCAATTTCGAAGTCAAAGTCAAAAATTCAAATTGGGAAGCAATTGAAAGCACCAGGAGAAATTTGGGAGCCAATTGCAAGTCAAAGTCAATTGGGAGCCAATTACAAAGGAGAAATTCAAATTGGGTGCCAATTACAAGTCAATTGAAATTGGGTGTCAATTACAATGGAGAAATTCAAATTGGGAGGAAGTTCAAAGCCAGTTTGAAGTCTGAGAACACCCAGACGTGAGAATGAAGAAGATGAAGATGAACTTACAGTGAAAATATTCTCACAAGGAAAAATACTAGTTTAACTAGTATGGGATTAAATTGAAGAATATTTTTAAATCCCAAAGATACAAAAACCACTTCAAAGCTAATCAGAGAAGCCGTTCTACACCCAGATATTCTCAGTCAACGTAAAACCAGAGGAATATCAGATGAAGTTTGGGAAACCATTCGCATGAAGTTCAAGCTCTCAAACGGCTAGCTTATCCTTTCTGACATCTTTGCAGAAGATAAGATAAGATCTCTGACAAAAAGATACAAGATTTCAAAAATGAGAGCGTCTCTTTCCAACGGACAGATTCTCATTACCAGCTATAAAATGATGAAGATATGAAGACTTGAAGATAACGAACTCACGAACAAGAGAGCAGAAAATACGAACTCATCAAGGAGATCGAATAGAGCAATTAAGCTTAAAAGAGCATAGAGCAAAAATCTCATTTGGTACAGAGCATACCAAAAATCTTCAAGTGAGAAGTGAGAAAAGAAAAAGAACTCAGAGAGCTTCAAGAGAAAAATATTATGAGAGTTCTTAAAACAGAGCAAAACAGAGCAAAAATATCAAGTGCTTTACTTGATATATTCAAAGAGAGAAAACACTCAGAGCTATTAAGAGAAATCATTCCAGAGTGTTTACCTTCATCAAAGAGACCTGCGCATCATTGAAGATCATCTACAGAGTCTCAGAAGTTGGAAGCAAGACAACACTTGTTTTGGAGCAAAACAAGAGAAGGGAGGAAAGTAGCACGAAGCTGTGAAATCCTGGATTGTCACACGAAGCTGTGAGATCCGAAGCAGTAGTGTCGGAGGCACTGGGCGTGATTAGTGCGGGCTTTGTGATCAAAGCACTAGATCACGGGATACGTTTCTACCAGAGTGTGGAAGACGGGGGGAAAGTAATGCGGAGTCGTGAAATCTTGGGATAGTAGCGCGGCGACGTGAAACCCGAAGCAGCAGTGTGGTGTCACTGGGCGTGATTAGTGCGGGCTTTGTGATCAAAACACTAGATCACGGAAATTCATTGTATCTTGGAACCAAGGAGTGGTAGATATAGTGAATTGCTCTTGGAGATAAGAGCAAGTGGAGTAGGAGGACTACACCACCTCGCGAACCACTATAATTGTCTTGTGTTATTTACTGCTTTCTTTACTTACTGCTCTTTACATATTCGCTCTACACGAGATATACTGCTCACACAATCTCACACACACTTTATGTTTATTTATTTCCGTTGTGCACCATACTCTAACAATCTAGTTAAGAGTTTTGGTTTATCTCTGGCTTAGCAATTGTTGTGCTGTGCGAAAAAGTGTGAAAGTCTATTCACCCCCCCCCCTCCTCTAGACTTTCACCTTACCTCTTTTGGGACCAACAATTGGTATCAGAGCCTGTAGCCTATTTGAGTCAGTTTATACCAACCTTTGGGTATTTAAACACGTTGCCCAACTGGGTTAACTGTTTTTGACTGCTAGGCTGATCCATTCTACAAAGTGTGTGAATTGGATTAATCTTTCATATCTCTCGTGATGATGATGAAGAAATATTTAGCTCAAAATCTATTATTCTCACTTGATAAATTTGATGATTGGAAAGTTCGTATGCAGGTACACTTATCGGCTTTACACGATGAAATGTGGGAAGTTATTTCCACTGGCCCTATAGAAATATTTAAAATCAATACGACGTTTGTCCTATCCCCGGATGCTCCACAATACGTACAAAAGCCTAAACCGGAATGGACATCGGATGATAGAACGCGGAATAATCTTGACAATATTGCCATGGATATTCTATTCAAAGCCGTTAATCATACAATATTTCCGAAGATCCGAAAGTGTGCTACTGCCAAAGAAATATGGGAAACTCTCATCAAGATTGGCGAAGGAGATGAATAAGAAAAAGACAATAAGCTCACAATCGCCATGAAGAAGTTTGAAGATTTCAAAATGCTCTCAAATGAAAGTGTTGCAGACATGGGAGCTCGAATGATCAAAGTTCTTGGAGAGATTAGTGATCTTGGCAAAAATATTAGCCAAAAAGAAATTAATCTCAAAATCCTACGAGGCTTACCATTTGCATGGGATATGAAGGTTACGGCTATGCGCGATCACCGAGATCTAAGAATGTTGTCTACAGAAAAATTATTTAGTGACCTAAAAGCATATGAGTTCGAAATGAAGGCCAAAGATGATGATGTTCATGAAGCTCGAAATTCTGCTCTAATGGCCGAACAACTGTCAACCTCCAGGTCAGTAGAAAATAATGTTGATTTTATGACTGACGAACAGTTTGCTCTTTTTGTCAAAAAGTTTAGAAGGTTTATGCGAAAAGGAGACAACAAAAATTCTGCTCGTGGAAAATTCGTCTCACGCATATCACAAGAAGAAAAAGTCGAAGAAAATAAGGATTTCTGCTACAATTGCCGCAAACCCGGACATTTTAAAATAAATTGTCCATATCCGATCGTTAGCAAGTATCAAGGCAAAAATGTTGAATCTATGCCGAACAAATCCGAAAGCAAAAGGTTCAAGCGCGACAAAAGAAAAGCTCTCGTTAGCAACGAACCAAACGAAAATGATGATTCGGAGGATTCATCATCAAGAGATGAAAGTTCATGTTCGGATGATGATACGACGCTAGTATGCAAGTCAATTGAGTTGAGTACAAGTGAAGATTGTCTTATGGCTCTTGAAGCAGAGGAAGAAGAGGCAACATCTAATTCTTTCAATTCTGTTAATTCTTCTTTTTCTCGTGAATCTATTGACAATCTAATGCGAGAATGTCAAGAGATTATGCTCACTCATCCTCAACTCAAGGAGCGCAATAATATTCTAATTCTTGAAAAAGAAGAAATGAATAAAAAATTGCAAGATGCTTTACTTGAAGTGAGTAAATTGAAGAATGAAAATATTTCATCTTCAAGAAGAGTGTAAAGCAAGAGAGGTTAGAGAACATAATCTTAGAGCTACTATTGCTACGTTCACTAATTCGTCTAAAATAATAGATAAAATGGTGAGCATGCAAAAGCCATCAGGAAATAGAACCAGAATCGGTTATGACTCCACATGTTCTCAAACCCCTCAAAATCTGACTAATTTTACTACTACTTTAAATAATAAAGTTCAAGTGGTAAAATTTGTTAAAAGTCAGAATAGCACAATGAGACAAGGACTTGGCTATCAAACAAAAGCAAAATTGAATGTTGAAAGGCCGAAACAATTCTATGATACGGCAAAGCAACAAAAATTCATCAAGCAAAGATATGCCAAAGAGTCAAGTGCAAAAAGATTTCATAGAAAAGAGGGAAGATTTTCTAGAAATAAAGTTGGGAGATTTTATCCCGCTCAAAAAGATTGGTTGTGTAATAGATGTAATGCTTTTTATAGACCAAAGCAACCATTCCCTTCCCAGGTGCCAAAATATAAAAATAATTTTCAAAACCCGGCGCCAAAAATGTTTTCAAAAGTGAGTTATGATTATCGTGTCTCTAATGGTTACAAATCGCCTCATCTTAATTCAATAAGATCTAGGTGGGTTTGGTTACCTAAAATCACTAACAGTAAAGGACCCAAGCAAGTATGGGTACCTAAAGTTAATTAATCTTTTTTGTAGGATGTTTGGTACATCGATAGTGGTTGCTCACGCCACATGACTAGAAATAAATCATATCTAGTGAATTTCAAAGAAATCGATGGATCAAAAGTTATATTCGGAGGAAATCAAAATTATGGAATTACAAAAGGAGTTGGCACGATCAAGAAAAATGGATTGAAGATTGAAGATGTTTCTTTCGTTGAAGGCTTAAAATTTAATTTGTTGAGCACCAGTCAATTTTGTGATAAAGGCTATCTTGTAGAATTTTCTAAAGATAATTGCCTAATCAAAAATGAGCTCACAAATGAGATTGTTCTCTCTGGAAAAAGACGAAAGAATATGTATGTTGTTGATTGGAGCACAAGCAAAGATTCAGTGTGCTTAATGGCCAGAAATTCGAATGAAGCTAATTGGGAATGGCACAGAAAGCTCAACCACTTAAACTTCAAGACTATCAATTAGCTTGCAAAGAAGAATCTAGTAGAAGGCTTGCCAGATATTATCTTCAAGAAAGACCAAGTGTGTGATGCCTGTCAACGCGGAAAACAAATCAAATCATAATTCAAATCAAAGACACACGAGTCAACGTCAAGACCGCTAAGCTTACTACATATGGACTTATTTGGACCGGTTGATCCAATAAGTGTAAGTGGTAAGAAATATACTCTCGTTGTTGTTGATGATTTTTCTAGGTACATTTGGACCGTGTTTCTCAAGAAGAAAAATGAAGTTGAGCAAGTTCTACCGAAGCTGTTGAAGCAACTACAAAATGAGAAAGAATTGCAAATATCAAAAATACGAACGGATTGCGGAACCGAGTTCGTGAATGGAGTTATACAAGCTTTTTGCAATTCACGTGGAATTTCTCATCAATTATCTACCGCAAGAACACCGCAACAAAACGGTGTTGCCGAAAGAAGAAACCGGACGCTCAAAGAAGCCGCACGAGTGATGATTAGTGCTGCCGGTCTCCCGAAACGATATTGGGGAAGCTATCAACACTGCTTGCTACATGCAAAATCGAAGCATGATCCATAAGCAGTACAAGAAGACGCCATATGAGCTTTATAAAGGGAGAAAACCAAATATTGGTTATTTTCATATTTTTGGATGCAAATGTTTTATTCATATTAATGATAAATTGCATCTAAATGCTTTTGATGAGCGTGCAGATGAAGGAATTTTTCTAGGATATTCGACTACCAGCAAGGCGTTCAAAGTTTTGAATAAAAGATCAATGGTGGTTGAAGAATCCATTCACCTGGTATTTGATGAAAAATCACAGATAAAAAATGATGCACTGGATGAAGAAATTGCACAAAATGGTAACAAGTGTCATATTGATTTTTGTGATACTAATGATACGTGTGAAGATGATGTTTTGCAGGGAATGGATGAGTTGGAAATTAATTCTCTAGAAAATCCCATCCCTCATCTAGAAGAAATTGGAAATTCTTTAAATAATAATTTTGGTGGTGATGCCTCACGTGGGAATGCAGATGCAGTACGGGTTGGAGATCCAATTAGTGATCAAGTTGCATGTGAAGTTGGTAATCAATTTCAAGAAGAATTAAATAATGAAATTCGAACCAACTCATCCAGTACACAACAAATGGATCCACCCAGTACCATGCACCCATTTCAACCAGATTTAAGATGGCTCAAAAATCACCCTCTAGAATTAATTATTGGGAATATTCATGAAGGCGTGAAAACAAGATCATCTACCATGGAAGCATTGTTCGCGTGTTATCTATCTCAAATTGAACCAAAAGAAGTTGACGAAGCTCTCAATGATCCGCATTGGATAAATGCTATGCAAGAGGAGCTCAATCAATTCAAAAGAAATGATGTTTGGGAACTTGTTCCAAGACCGGCGAACCACAATGTTGTAGGAACCAAATGGGTCTTCCGGAACAAAGCAAACGAAGAAGGCGTGATTGTTAGGAATAAAGCAAGGCTCGTTGCAGAAGGATACTCTCAAGAAGAAGGAATAGATTTTGATGAAACTTTTGCACCGGTGGCCCGACTTGAAGCAATCAGAATTTTCCTAGCCTACGCCGCACACAAAGATTTCACCGTTTATCAAATGGACGTGAAAAACGCATTCTTGAATGGTCTACTCGAAGAAGAAGTTTATGTCGAACAACCCCCAGGTTTTGAGGTAAAAGGCGAAGGTGATAAAGTCTACAAACTTAAAAAGGCATTGTATGGGTTGAAACAAGCACCTCGAGCTTGGTATGATACCTTGTCAATGTTCTTGATAAGCTGTGGATTCACCAAAGGCCTTGTTGGCAAAACTCTATTTAGAATTCAAGATGGTGATCATATTTTATTAGTACAAATATATGTTGATGATATTATTTTTGGAAGCACTAACAATTCTTTGTGTGAGAAATTTTCGAAGCTTATGCAAAATAAATTCGAAATGAGCATGATGCGTGAATTGAATTACTTCTTGGGCTTACAAGTCAAACAACTGAAAGAAGGAGTATTCATCAATCAAGCAAAGTATACCCGCGACTTGATAAAGAAGTTTGGCCTTGATGGAAAATCATCGATCAAAATTCCAATGAACACATCAATAAGGCTAGACAAAGATGAAGATGGAAAGGATGTTGATCAAACAAAATATAGAGGAATGATTGGTTCTCTTCTATATCTTACTGCAAGCAGGCCGGACATTTCTTATGCTGTGGGAGTGTGTGCAAGATTCCAAGCAAATCCAAAAGAAAGCCACCTCACCGCAACAAAGAAGATCATACGATATTTGAAAGGCACAATCAATGTTGGATTGTGGTATCCACAAGGTACAGATTTTACTCTAACAGGTTTTTCAGATGCGGATTTTGTAGGTTTCAAAATAGACAGAAAAAGCACTTCCGGGACATGCCAGTTCTTGGGGGGAAGGCTTGTTTCTTGGTTCAGTAAAAAGCAAAATTCCGTCGCAACTAGTACCGCCGAGGCCGAATATATTGCTGCAGGAAGTTGTTGTGCGCAAATTTTGTGGATAAAGCAACAATTGAAGGATTATGGAGTAAATTGTGATGACGTTAGTATTTATTGTGATAATACTAGTGCAATCGCTATCACTCACAATCCGGTGCTTCACTCAAGAACCAAACATATCGACATTCGACATCACTTCATAAGGGATTACGTTGAAAAGAAAAATCTGAAGATCGAATATATCCCTACGGAAAACCAAGTTGCTGATATTCTCACGAAGCCTTTATGCGAAACGAGATTTTCTACCTTAAGGCACGGGTTGAGAATGATCGAAATGAGCTAAGTATCACTGAACTTAATCTCTCTATTTAATTTGATACTTGTGCTCAAAATAAATTGATTTACGTGAATAAATCATTTTATGTGATTGTATGCATATTTTAATTCGAAATTTTTATGTGATAAAATTGCAATATGTGTTAGGAACTTATTTGTATATTTGCATGTGTTATTTAACGTGAGATCATAAGCCATGCAAATTAATTTGATAAAATGTGCAATTCGTGTTTTATTTAATAATTAGTTTAAAATTGCATGTTTTAAAGTGTTAATTAGTGTATGAGTATGTGTTCATGATTTTAAAAAATTAATTAATTTGTTTGCATGAACAATCTGTCTAAAAATGTGATTTACCGTGTTTATTTAACTATATATGTGCATAATGTTATTTAATGTGTTTATTGTATGTGTTCCGTGCATATGTATATATGTGTTATAATTTGCAATAAATTGTTTTAGAAAACTGAAAACTAATTTGTTAAAATGCTTTTTGTTAGTGTCTAAAATTTTTAGAATCTGATTTAGTATAAAGTTGTTTCTAAAATATAAACTTGGAATATATGTGTTAATTATGTTCATTTCCAAAATTTGTGTTTTTCGATTGGAAATTACCGTGTATGTGTTTAATATAATTGGTATGTGTGATTAATTATTTATGGAGTAATTTTTGCTACTAACGAGATGTTGAGTATGATTATATCTGTGGTACACGATTTTGAGAAGGAAATCAGGAGACAAAGGAGGAAAATTAGAGTTTAATCGGGCATCAAACCCCCACCCATAAACTCCTACCCTTTCTAAACCTCCACCCAACCTAAACCTCCCCCCATAATCCTCTCCTAGATCAAATCTTTCCAAACTGATTCACTTTCTCTCTCAAATCGGCATACCCATACCTCCTCTCAGCTAAATAATCTCAATCGACTCCCACATAGCAGTTAAAACCTAACCCCTCATTAAACTCTCCCCTCTAAACCGTTGCCCATCAAATCCCTTCCCATCCACCGCCATCTCGACCAATGAGAAGCCTTGCCGCTATCCATCACATCCCATAAATCCCAAACGACGGCTAGAAATATTTACTCTCCATCGGCAAGTGAACCGATATTCTTCCTGACCGCCCTATATATTGGGAGACAGCCGAGCAACATATCTTGTGGAAGATCTTGTTTGTTTGAATTTTCTTTTGCAGGTGCAAGATGGTGTCCAATGAATCACAAGAGAACGAGATGAGGAAGTCAACCAAGAGAACTTGGGAGAAAGTTCTCAAACAACCCCGAAGGGCAACACAAACAGACACAAGGAGAAATGAAGGAGAAACCCCGAGTAACCCTCTGATTTTAATATCAGAAGAAAAGGAGCAAGAAAAGGAGTCGCTACAAATTCAAGCAGTAGCAGAATCACCACCGCGTGAACCAGGCTTCATATATGAAGAAGACAATGGTGACAAGAAACAGTCTGTGAAACAAGAGAAAGTGGAAGGGTCTGAGCCTCCATTTATGAAATTTTCACCAGTTGTTCAACCTGACATGTATGCTGAAATTCTGTATATGAGCAATTCAGAATATCTCATCTATTTAAAACAACTGACGTTTGGACCGGTTCTACCCCCTCCTAGTTTCGATTTCGATGGGCTCTATCAACCTCCACCTCCACCAGAGCCTCTTCCGAAGTTTCCACCAAGTCCGCCAGTTCTTGCACCCCTTCCACAAGAAGTTCCTGCTCCTTCACCGCCTCCTCAGCAGATGCCTCTCAACCCGTTCATCCGACCCCCTGTAGACTTTACTAGGTTTTTCAATCAAACCTACTCATCTTCAAGCTCTAACGGGTCGATGTTCGAGGAAAGTGAGTCCAGTGGTGACTCAGGACCAGGATATGCTCCTTCACCACCAGGAGGTTATGACTCAGAAGATTGCATGAGTACCGGTTTCTCTGCCTGTTGAAGAAGTGCTATGTTATCACTCTCACTCTCTCTCATTCTCTGAAAGAAGGAGATAAATAAAAATGAATGTTTTTGCTTCTAGCTCCTTCTATTTCTCTCTATATCTCTCTCCTAAAAATGAAAAATCCCTACGTATATAAAAAGATCAAAAGTTTCGTAGCCAAAAAGATACACAAAAAAAAATTATATATGAATAAAAATAAAATAAAAAGGAATTAAAAAAAAATTTAATGGCAACAAAAAGGGATAAAAGAAGAAAATATTAAGAGGAGAAATGTCAGTATGAGAAGAAGTAAGAGAACAAATGTCAGAAGAAAGAAGAAGAGATATACTAGTGGAAGTTGCTACTGAGAGTAGACAACAAATCACAGAGAATTTATCCAGTGTATTGCCAGTACACCATACCGAGTCTACCATGCCTGTAACACCCCAGATTTTCAAGATATTTAAAACTTATAAAGTAAGGTGAAATCTCATTAAATCCCAAAGCATAATACAAGGGTACGGGGTTCTATGCCACACCTAAGCTAGAGAACTCAGGTGCACAGGCTAACTAACTAATATCCTCAATAATGTAAACGCATAAACATGGCACGCAGACCGAAAGGGGAACTATCTACTTCTACGCTCCGAGTTCTAGCACGCTCCAGTGACTTACTCTTCTGTGCCTGAAAGCCAAATATATCTGTTCAGCGAGAGATGCTGGTAACCCACTCCAACGCGTTGAAATACAATACACATATATATATATACATAGATATACGAAAAGTCATTTTGAAGCATGATGATATATCCTAAGAGACTCTAGCTTTCAAATCAGGGGACCGACTCGACAAATAGGGGTACACAAAATCTACAGTCATAATCAGCATATACAGTTCTCACATAGGAAACAGTCATAGATAAGCACAACCAATAATCACAATTAAGCATTACTAGCAAGAGCCCTATAACAGTCACAACATCAACCCTTCTTATCTCATCATATAGCACACTTTGTTGGCGCCACAGGACCAATCGCATGCCCATACATGAGGGTCAGCGCATATAGCTCTGACACGGCCCCGCAGCACCCTGCCCCGTCTCACACTACGGAGGGGTCGATCGCAACCGACCGATGAGCCGCAGCTCTATATAATATTTATATACATGACCGGTCTTTACCGGCCTGGTTAACAGTTTGGATGGTTCTCAACCCATTCAACTGCCCGTATAGTGGACCTTTGTCCTATATAATATTTATATACCTGACCGGTCTCTACCAGCCTGGTTAACAGTTGGGATGGTTCTCAACCCGTTCAACTGCCCGTATAGTGGACCTTAGTCCTATATAATATTTATATACCTGACCGGTCTCTACCAGCCTGGTTAACAGCCGGTATGGTTCTCAGCCCACCTGACTGCCCGTATAGCCCGATTGATCTCAACCAAAACGGGGTAACATGCACACATAACACATAGCAAGCACATGCAACCCATATTAGCACATTGGGAAGGGGGAGAAAACGTATAACAAAACCTATGCGTGATCCTTCACATTTTAAGAATAGTCCTAAGGGGTTCATACTTCTTTCACCTAGGTCAAAGGGATACCAATTCAACTAGCATGCAATATATAAGACTCATACGACCTACGAACGGTACCCGAAAATCAAACTAGACATAGGCACGATAGACGGAGTCCGTTGGGACACCACAGGGGTCGGGGGAACATCAAACGGGGAAGCCGGGGTCCCGAAGGGTGGGAATTTCCAGCGGGTAGCCGGTGGGTGGGGGTTCACCCGCCGGCTGCCCGCCGGAATTTACTGTTCCGGGCAGCGGGTGCCCGGCGGGCAGCTGCCCGCTGCCGGAGCTCCTCTTTTTGGCCGCGGGTAGGTGGCGGGTCCCCTACCCCCACCTACCCCCCATTGACTCTTTTCACCAAAAACGCCCCGGGAACCTTTGTGGAACCCGAAACCATGCTTAGACACTTTCAAACGCAATTGATAACACACGTAGACAATTAACGGATCAAAATCAAGAAACAAACGAAACATAACCTATCATGCTTTTCTAAACATAATAAACACCCAATCATGCGAAATCCCAACCAATATACCAAGAATAATACCATACAAATTCCACGATATAACCTAGGGTTCTAATTATTTTTAAATCAACAAGAACACAATTCATCTTCCAAAATTAAGATTCGATAGGAATATCATATAACTATCAAGAACCTCATATAATCATTAAGAACATCAAGGACACTATGTAATTATCAAGAACGTCATATAATCATCAAGATCACCATAATTATCAAGAACCTTTCATCATCAAGATCTCCCATGGAAATCATCCCACCAATCATTAATAATAATATCACAAATCATCAATACACAATAATATGGGGAAATCCTAAGAGGGGAATCATAACTAAGAAAATAGGTTTTGTTGAGACATGGGTTACCTCTTAGCCTTAATTAATTCCTTGGCTATGAAGGGTCTTTCTTTAAGCTTTCTTGCTTTCTTGATTTCTTCTAAGGGAATTCTTGGAGCTCTTTGGGTGGTGAGACGTTATTGTGGTGGGGGTTCTAGGTGCCTCTTAAGTCCCTTATTTATATAATTAGGAGTCCTAGTTAGGAACTAATATTATAGGCTTGCTAATTCTATTCCTTTTGGGACTAAGGATTGGGTTTGGGGATAAGGGCCCGTGGACTATGGTGGGCCTTTCCTAATTAATTATTGTGATTTAATTCTTTTTTTTTGGGTAATTGATTAGATGATTTAATTGATTTTAGGGATCGTAACACGGGGTGTTACACTCTGCCCCCCTTACGAGGGGCTTCGTCCTCGAAGCCCGGTGTGTTAATCCATTCTTTCACCCCTAGGCATCCCGCATCTTGGCCTCCCGGTTAGGAATGTGGCCCCACGTTTTGCCTTAGATGGGGTAGATAGGATTTCTGGTGGTGTTTGTGATAGAAGGGTTTTAGGTCTACCTCGGTTTCCTGCTCCTGAGCTGGACGCCCCGCGAGTGCCCAAGGTGGCCTCGATTGCTGCCACCCTCTGCTCCAGTGCGCGTGTCGTACGGATCAAGGATGAGAATCCTTCCTCCATGATTTGGTTTTGCCGGTTGAGCTGTGCGAGTATGCGTTCATTGATTGAGCCCTCGTTTTGCTCCCTTGGGTTCCCTCCTGATCGAGGTTGCACCGACAGGTGGGGTTCGTCATCCTCCTCCTGGTCCTCATTTCCTTCCAGAATTCCGCAATCTTGCATTGCCCGTTTGAGCTTCTTGTTGGAGATGTCTAATTGGTCGACCAATTCTCTTCGTTCATCCTCGGGTTTTTGGCAAATTTCTTCGAGGGTGAGGTAATGTCCTCCCTCGGTGTAGTAAATATCGTTGCGGCGGAGGTTCTGGGCGTTAAAGACCATACCATTCGCGGTCTTGACCTCGGTGTGGCTTAGATCCACCCCCTTTTTCTCCATGATCCAACTTAGGATCATCCCGTAGGGTAGGCTAAGTCGGTTGCTTGTTTTGCAAAACTCCATGTGTTTTAGCATGAGGGCCGGCAAGTTGAATTTGATTTTGTGCTTCAAGAGGTAGGCAAAGGTGCACTCTAAACTCCCCACGTCTTTGCTCTTATTGTTTGTGGGTAGGAGGCTATCGGTTACAATCATAACCAATATCTTTTGCTCCACCGATAGCCACTTCCGGTTTGGTCGCGTGGCCGAGGTGAATCCTTCTTCTTTCTCGAGTAGGTACCCGAGATAGTCCTTGTACCCCGTGTTTGGGGTATCAATCCACCCCTTTCGGTCGTAGTTTGACACACCCGTGGTGGTCAATTTCAAGAGTTTGGCCAAGCGGCCTTCGGAGAGTATAATTTCCTTGCCGCGGACCTTGGTGGTGACTTCGAGCTTGTCACCCTGTTTGGTGGCCACTAGGTGTTGATAGAACTCTTTCACCAATTCGGGGTACGTGTCCCCTTTGATGGTGAGGTACGTGTCCAAGAGGCCTTGGTAGTTAAGCATATCGACCAATTCCGGAGAGAATTGGTCGGGTTCAAGGGCTTTACCCCCTATCACGGTGCAACCGGCGTTGCTCCATTCCGGGGCACGGGTTCCGAGGGGTTTCTTTGGCATTTTAGGGTAGGTGATGGCCTTTTTTCCGGCGAGTTGCGCTTTTCCGGCGAGCTTTTCCGGCGGGTTTTCCGGCGTGGTTTTCCGGCGTTGGTTTCCTTTGTTTGCGAGGGCGGTGACGGCGGGGCGGAATCCAAGTGACGGCTTGGTGAGGCAGGGTGACGGCGCTGTGGTGGCGTCGGGTGGTGTGTGACAGTGGGCGGAGCCCAGGTGGCCGACGGGCGGTGCTTAGGGTCGTGGTTTTCTTCCGGCGGCAGCGGCGGCGTGAGGCGGTCACGGCCTGGGTGGCCGGTCGTGGCTCGGTTGCTGGCGGCGGCGGTCTCGGGTCTCCGACGTCGAGGGAGGGGGCGGTGGTGTGTTTGCGGAAGGAGGAAGGGGAGAAAGTGGGGGGAAGAAGAAGAAGAGGGTTTTTTGATTTGGGGATTTTGTGGGTTTTAGGGATTTGTAGGAGCTTTAACAAGGGAGTGTTCCCTTGAGGTTTCAAGAAACACTCATGGGCTAGTGGTTAGAGTCTTGGTCACTTAAGTGGAAGGTCAAGAATTCAATTCTCATTGGTAACACTAGGCCCTATGATGATGGGGCCCTTGTCTTTTTCCTTCCTTTGTCTTCTAGTGGTGAGACTTGGCTAGTTTGTATAGTTCTAGTTCTACCCCACCATAAATAAGACCGAATTTTGAACCGATCTTTTATTTATAATATCTCCGAAGTAATTAAGCTAAATAAGTAGTTCTACCACGAAGGTGATTACAAGAAATTGCCAACCTAACCTAGACAGAATTCGTCTTCTTGGTTTTCTCCCACGGGGTTTGCGTGGTCCTCGTCTTCTGGGCTTAGGTTTCCTTCCTCGAGATTGCTCTCGTTCCCGAGGTCGGCTTGAGTGCG